ATTCAATATTTTCAGTAGGTGTAGTAGGTTGAGGGGAAACTAATTGTGGTTCCGGTCGAGGTGAAGATACCCCGAACAAACCCCTGAAAGGATTGTTTTCCATAGTAGCAAGTGACAATAAATTTCAGCACGTAGTAATAATATTTCCTTACCAATTTCCACTTACCAAGAGCGTTTCACTCCCTGGCAACGGCGCCAGAAAATAGCCTTGATGACCCACAAGTATATGGGGTCAATTGTAGCCTTTTAGATAAGTAAGAGTGTCGAATCCAACGAGGAGCAGAAGGAAATGACAAGTGGTTTTCAGCAAGATAATGTCTGCAAGTGCTAAAATTGTAAGTAGCAGAGTAGTTTGATAGAAAGATAATTTGTAACGAGCAAGTAACGATAGTAGTAACAAAAGTGCAGCGAGGTAGCCCAATCCTTTTGAGGCAAAGGACAGGCCAAAACGGTCTCTTATCATAAAAAAAAGTGTTCTTGAGAGTACACGGGATTTTCATCTAGTCACTTTCATCATGTTGGCTTAATTTGTGCTCGCTACTTTGATAAGTTGATATGTGGGTGGACCGGTGCTTAGGTGATGTTCTTACTTGAACAAACCTCCTACTTATGATTAACCCTCCCGCAAGCATCTGCAACTACGAGAAAAGTATTAAGAATAAATTCTAACCATAGCATTAAACATTTGGATCCAATCGGTCCCTTACGGAATAGCGCGTAAACTAGGGTTTAAGCTTCTGTCACTCTCGCAACCCATCATCTAATAACTACTTCACAATGCATTCCCTTAGCCCCAAATATGGTGAAATGTCATGTAGTCAACATTCACATGACACCACTAAGGGAATCACAACATACATATCATCAAAATATCAAACGCATATCAAGTTCACATGATTATTTGCAACATGATTTCTCCCGTGACCTCAAGAATAAAAGTAACTACTCACAAATGATAATCATGCTCAATATTAGAGGGGTATTAAATAGCATAATGGATCTGAACATATAATCTTCCACCAAATAAACCATATAGTAATCAACTACAAGATGTAATCAACACTACTAGTCACCCACAAGCACCAATCTACAGTTCCGGTACAAAGATTGAACACAAGAGCTGAACTAGGGTTTGAGAGAAGTTGGTGTTGTTGAAGATGTTGATGAAGATAGCCCTCCCCAAGATGGGAGAGTTGTTGGTGATGAGGATGACGATGATTTCCCCCTCCGAGAGGGAAGTTCCCCCGGTGGAATCGCTCTACCGGAGGGCAAAAGTGCACCTGCCCAAGTTCCGCCTCGAGACGGCGGCGCTTCGTCCCGAAAGTTCTCTCCTTATTTTTTCTAGGTCAAAATGACTTCTATACCAGAAGAGGGGCACCGGAGGTGGGCCTGGGTGAGCACAACCCACCAGGGCGCGCCTGGGCTCCCTAGCGCGCCCAGGTGGGTTGTGCCCACCTGGTGGGGCCCCTTGGTACTTATTTGCTCCAATATTCCTAAAATATTCCATAAAAATTCCTCTTAAAGTTTCAACTCATTTGGAGTTGCGCAGAATAGGTAGCCTGACGTAGCTTTTTCAGGTCCAGATTTCCAGCCGCCAGAATTCTCCCCCTTTGTGTATACCTTGCATATTATGAGAGAAAAGGCATTAGAATTACTCCAAAAAACATTATTATTCAATAAAACAACATAAATAACAGTAGGAAAACGTGATGCAAAATGGACGTATCATATCGAGGTAGAGCTCCATCCTAACTTCAAACATGTACGCTTTGGCCAATCCTCTCCAACCAGGGCAACCAAAAAAGGTTCATCTTTTTCTTTATGACAAAAACCCTAAAGTTAAAGCCCTCTTTTTTCTTGAGGTGAACCTTAACTGTGGTTTCCTCATCCATGACAACATTTAGCTTCTGCAAGAGTTCAGGCCTAGCAAAGCAGGGGATGTGCTGAGCAAAATTAAAGGAAAAAAAGAAATTCCAAGGAGAATGCCAAAATTAAAGAACTAAAAAAATGAAATGAAAGAGAGAGGAGTGATCGAGAGGAGGGAGAAATAAGGGGGAGGGTTTAAGAAGGAGAGGAGGATGAAGTGAAAGAGGGGAGTAAAAAAGTGAAAGGAGAGGAGGAAGAAGGGCGATAGGGGCATCAGATGTGAGAGCAGGTAAATTGTTGAGCGAAGCCCGTAGTGGTGTGCCTAGTGGCGATGAACGCCACTAATAAGCCACTTACTTGTGGCATGCCAGCGCGCGACTTGTAAATGAGACTTGCATATGTTACTAGTGCGTGTGACATTCTGTATGGCGCCACTAGTATCAAGCTTACTAATGGCGTGCGGGCAAATGTGCACACCACTAATAAGTGGGGTCCAAAAGTGGGTCCGCACCAATTACTACTAATGTGCGCACCAGAACCCAACATCACTAGTATTTGCGGTACAAGTTGCGTGCCCACGACATCCACGCCACTACTAGTGTGGTGTGCCAGTATTGGGTCCCACTTACTAGTGGCGTGCCTTCTGGCCATCATGCCATTAGTAAAGAGTTATTAGTGTCGTGGGCTTATTTGGGCACACCACTAACGTTGCTCTTTTGGGGGAGCCACTAGCAAGGGCTCTTGTATAAGGGTATCTGCACTTGTGTCTTGCTAGTGCCACTTTTCTTGGCAGGCTTGAGTTCTAAAGTGTTAAGCATATCAGTTGCGCGAAGTCAAACCATTGTTCTGTGATGACAAATGTTTCGATACGAGAATGCATGACAGTCTCATGCAATGTACAATAATATTTTGGAAGTTCATGGCAGACTGGGCTTCAGCTTCGAGAGAATCGGCTATGTATTCACTATGCTGGTAAAGCTATTTGACACAATCAGCTTTGGCACTGAAGTACACCAGGATGTGCTTCAACCCAAAGCGCCAAAAATAGCCTGAATCACATTTTAGTTGATTTTTTAAAACTGGTTTGAAATAGCTGTTTGTTTCATATTCAACTTTTTCAAAGTTGAATCTGGTCCATAAAGTTGAAACAAACACCGTCTAAGTGTTGTTGTTGCAGCCTATCATCAGTTCAATGAAGCTTGTGTTTGGGGAGGGGAGGGAAGATGAGGGGGGACGATGCGTACATTTCATGTCACAATTTTACAACATTTGTATACTTTGCACTTTTTTTTTAATTTGGTTCTGTCACATGGTCTAATTGTTTTGATAGTTTTTTTTCTCTTCTTGTTTTCTATTTGCAAGGCATTGAGTAATGTACCATAGTATGAGACTATTTATATATTCAAAGCAGAGATATGATTACTAATTATGTACTCTGCAAATTGACTGTTCCCGAAAACAAAAAAGGTCATTCTCATCATCTCTTCATATGTGACTTCCCATGGTGAGCGAAAACTAGTTAGAGCAACTCTAGCAGACCCCGCATCCCGCCGGCCCACAAAACGCGTTTGCAGTTCGGGGGAAACCGCTTTTGCGGGCTGGCTCGGATCGGCGCAGATGCAGACCCCCCAAAAGGACCCGTATAAAAGGATATTCGCGGAATATACTTTTTTACGGGGCGGCTTTTGCGGGGTCTGTTCGGACAGCGCCCCGTCGACACGGAAACGGAAAATGCTCAACTCTCGCATTTGACATAAGTTCTCACAAATAAATTCAAATTCAAACAACATAACACAGTTTTACGCGCAAATAAAAGCCAAGTTCAGTACGAGAAACGCAAAAGAGGGCCTTGCAAAAGTTACGGCCATGTCCTCACAACCATGATCATCCACGCCGCCCTCCGTTTCATTGTACTCGAATACGAACGCGGCTTGATCAATGTCAACGGCATTGGTGTCCAACAAGTTCACGAACTCGACAGTTCCATTGTTTGAACCACCGCTATATTGAACGATAACAAGTCACGAGCTAGCAACAAATGGCGAAAACGAAAGGAAAGCACCATGACCGAAGACCCATGCCTTCCGGCCATTTCGTCGAACACCTCGCTTGCGGGGGGAGCAGCACCGTTGGACGGCATCAGCGGGGCACTTATTTTCGGGATGGAGTTCGAGGATGAAGGAGGCGCCTTGTTTGTAGCCGGATTCCTCTTCCTCTTGCCGGCTGCTGCCTTGGTCACCTTCTCCGCCGCCGGCCGAGATCACGCAGCAGCGTTGGCGCCGGGAGCGCGAACCTTGGCGGCGGGGGCTGCTGGATTCCCGCCCTACACGACCACATTACCCTACCGCTTGCGGGCAGGCGTGGCGCTAGCTTAAGCGACGGCGGGGCCAACATGGCCGGCGACGAGATCCGCCCGAAGGGAAAGGGCATGCGCGACCTCGACGGTGATGGGGGCAGTTGGGAGTCGTCCATGGCGGCGAGGGACGGCCGCGGAGGATGCACCGGAGCATGCGGCGGCGGGACAATGGTGGCAGAGGGTGGGGGGGCGGGAAAGGGCGCGTGGAAATGTTCGTCCCGCCAAATCTCGCTGCGGATGGGGGCTGCGCATGGGTCGGCCTCCCAGCTCGTGAAACTAGAGGTTGGGGGAGAAGTTTTGCCGCACCCGCAAAAATATTTGCGGGCCGCGGCGGGATGCGAGGTCTGATCGGGCAGATTTTTCCGCCCCGACCCGCACTTTGACGCTTATTTTGCGGGCAGGGGGTGGGATGTGGGGTCTGATCGGGCAGGTTTTCCCGCCCCGACACGCACTTTGGCGGTTATTTTGCGGGCGGGGGTGGGATGTGGGGTCTGCTAGAGTTGCTCTTATGAATGGGAATTGCTGATGAACGCAATGTCACCTTTGCATATCGTAGTGGTGTGCCGGGATGGCACGTCCAGGAATGATGTGCCGGGCCGGGCCATGAACAATGGACATTTTATTCGTAGCAACAGAGTGAATGATTTCATAATTCAAAATTTGCAAATTAAACCACATCTCACTTGTAACCCGAAACACGTCTGACAGATATTGCAAATAATATCTGAGCATCGTACCATCCGTGCTGACTGGATACCTGGTCGAAAATTAACAACTCTTATTTCCTGCGACAAAGCAGAGTTTTGTTTGGATCAGCGCGGACTTGGCATGATCCAAGAAGGCCACTGCCACACATGCACTTCAACAGGTTCCCGTATGAGAGATCCTGGGTGGAAAGGTCGTCGAGGTCGAGCACCGAGACGGTGTACCTCCCATAAACGTCCAGCCCGTAGTCGTCGTTCACCATCTCGTGCGAGCTGGCCACGTACACGCAGTTCCTCCGCACCCCGTTGAGCCCGCTGACCTCCACGCAGAAGCCGCGCAGATGGTCCACGAACAGGGCGCGGTTGCCGATGCCGCCGCCGGCGACCTCCGACCATCCGGCCGCCAGGCTCCGGCTGTCCGCGCGGAAGACCTTGAAGAGGCCCCCCGAGCCGTATGGTGCTACTTGGAACAAGAGGTGCGTCCTGACGATGAGGAGCAGCTCGCCGGAGGACACGACGAGCGTGGACTCGGGTGTGCACCAAGCATGTCTGGGCGACACCAGATCTGGTGGCTCGACTACGGCGGTCACGGCGAAAGTTGCGGCGTCCACGGCCGTGACCCTGCGGGCTCGCCCGTCCAGAAGGTAAAACGTACCGTCATCGTAGGTGATGCTGCTGACGGCAGCCGTTTGCGAGGATCCGGCGGCGCTCCATGACCCGCCGTCGCCCGGCAGCTTGCAGAAGAACGCGCCTTTGCCCGGCGAGATCATGACGGCGCCAGGGGACCGATCCCATACCATGTCACGGAGGATCTTCTCATATTCGCCGTGGAAGGATGGCGGCAGTGCGGGCAGGCTCTCCGACGCGCCGGTGAATGGTTGCAGCAGCGTGGCCGAGAGGTCGTTGGCCACGCCGAGGGTCCAGCCACGAGGCGAGGCGAAAAGGAAGGAGCGACCGCATGCGGCGGGCATGGGGGTCTCCGTGATGCTGTCGTTGGCGGGTGACCAGAGACGGCGGTCGACGCGGGAGTAGCTCTGGGAGGGCAGGAGGACCAGGGGGGTGCGGCGGCGTGCGGCGTGCTCCGCCGAGGCCGAGCGCCAAGATGGGCAAACCGAGCGGAAGCGCGCGAGGTCCACGTGCTCCGTGATCCTGTCGGCGATCCCGGCTACGAGCTCGGCTGGCAGGTCGGACCAGCTCATGTCGTTGGCGTCTGCGTGTTCTTGGATTGATGAAGGGAGGATTGGAGGGGAAATACTCCTAGTTAGGATCTCATGTACTTGGGGGTAGTAATCACTATGGACTCTATGTCTATCTGTTCCAGTTTAAACCTCCCTATTTTACTTCTACAGCTGTATCCTAGCGATTGGCCTCATCTTCTTGTAAACCACGGTACTCAATACTACATATAAACAAACTCATGCGGCTTCCTAATGGGTGAGATCGAAAGTTTTTATCAAGAACAAGCAACACATTGCCTGTCATTTTCATCATTAAGAAGGAAGGGAGTCAAGCAATTGGTGATGAATAAGAATATGCTCTTGTTACACCAAATGAAATGGACACGGAATGCATCTGGTGTACTGGATGTCATAAAATATTTTTTTAAATCTGAAAAAAAATCTAGCATGTTAACGCAACATCAATGTATGATGCCACAAAATTTCGTATAAAAAATTATAATATTTTTTGAGATACAAAAATGACAAATTTGACATCAGTGTGATTATGGGCCAAATCTAACGATAATACTAGACCTACGAACGGTTTTACGAAGCCTTACGTAACCTTCTAAAAACTAAATCTTCTTCCCCCTGATTTTAAATGAGGTGGGGCCCTTCATCCCCCCGCTTCCAATCCTAAACATCCACATCAGCACGTTTCGTAGGTCTAGCATTACTCCAAATCTAAAGCCCAAGTTATGCTATGTACTATTCAGTGTTGAATTTATCATTTTTGTTTTTTGAGTTATGTTTAGGATTTTGACTTGAAATTTTGTGACAACCTACATTGATGTTGTGTGAGTCTGCTAAATTTTTTTCATAATTTTTTGAACATTTTAAAAGCACAATATGAGTTCGGTGCACCGGTAGCACCATAAGCTCCGGTGCACCAGATATTATCCCATGGACCAGAACCACCTCCGCTTAACCCACTAAGAGCAACTCCAATAGCATATATCGACCAAGTTTCATACCCCGAAATTAGAATTTTTTATTTTTTTCAGTTTTTTTATTTACTATTCATGTGGGTGCGCGTGGAACCATGTTCGCCTTTGTATTTTTGCATCACATCTTCGTAATTTTCCCAACAGAACCTAGTTTTGTCTTCTTCAATACTTCTTACATTAAATAGATTGAGTGATACCATTGATATACATGAGTTATTTTGTCATTAGTTTCTTCTTCAAGTTTTGTATATATATATCTAGAGTTACTTTTCATCTCTACAAGTTCCTAGCCTTGTTTCCCAGAGTGGAGCATGCTTCATCCTACCGGTTAACCAAAACGACAATGAACATAGCTATAAAGCCACACCGTAAAGGTTCCATTATAAAATCATATAAACCATTTCAACTCCAGTACAATTAAATTAAATAATGCCTTGATTGAATGGATAGTTCAAAGGACCTCGATTTAAGATGGGTTGTCCATCATATGATGTATTGATGATGTTTGGCAGAAACTAGTGGACTTGTGCTTGATGGTTTCATTAGAAGTTGGTGAGATGACACTCTTTCAATTCAACCATTAGTAAGCTACAAATAAACGCCATAAATGCATGTTGCAAATTAAGTGAAAAGCCAAAATGAGTAGGAAATCAAGCTACCAACGAAAACAAACAAAATACAACTTAAAACACCAATCAAGCTACCAATGTATCAAGGACCCACATGCGTGGTAACATAAACTATAAACTACATAAGGTTGACTACATGTGCAATAATATAAATTGAAGAACAGAGAGACACCAATATTATGCCGCATACAAAACAAAACGAAACAAAAACAAAAAGAGTCAGTAACTCAATTAGTCCACCAACCTCTATATTACCAAAACCATCAATAGGAAAGGGTCTTATGATTTAACGGGCTCACTTTAGTCAATATTGCTGAAATATATGATTTCTGGTTTACATCAATCTATGCAGCTTAGAGGTGAGAAGAAATGTTGAAATATATTGTCTACAATTCTCTAACAATTATAGTTGTTGGTGAACTACCTAGTGCAAGGAAAACATTTGTAACACCGAGGCGTGGTACTAGATTATATCAAGGAGATACAAAAGTTTAACAACAAGGAATTGAGTTCCTTTTTCTCCAAATGCATCAAATAAAAACCAAAGGATTTATGGTTGTTTACCCTAATTCCTTCCTAGTTCTTATCACGTCAATAAAATGACATAAAGAGTATTGCACGATGAAACAGATAGTTGGACAACGCCCACCGACAGAAGTTAACAAACCATACACTTGGATGCCTCCAAAGATGTTCATAAATTTACCAAAGACTTCAAAAAATCATCAAGGACTCCACTACAAATTTGACGTCTGATTTTTTACCATGGCAAATCAAACGTTTTTGTAAGTCCATCTAGTGCCCCTTAGTGATTTTGGTGTATTGAAGACTTGTAGGTTAAGGGACTAATGTGTTTGTGAGTGTACACAGGCTCTATAAGTTGATGAGGAGTTTGATATCTATGATGAAAGTCGACCCCTAAAAATGTATGTCTTCAGCTAAAGACTTTGGTTCTCTTGAAGATTTTAAAAGTGAAGAAATTGGTGTGACCTTGAAGACTTGGATATTCATGTGAGGAGTATGAAGCGTTAAGACTTTTGTTTTTGTAGTTTCATTTTCTCTTTTTTGAGTCATAGAAACACCGTATTGTTAAAGGGGGTCGAGGTAATACTAAGGAAAGTGATTTCCAAGTGATGCTCATCTCAAAATCCTACACCTACCCAATCCTTTCGAGTGAAGCCATTGAAAATCTCATATCAGTTCAGTCAATTTCTTCAGTGACAGAGACGAAGATCTTCTGGTCTCTGAGAAATTTGTTCTGACTGAGGAGTTAGGAATTCTCCAATGCGGATTGCCTACATAGGGAGGAACATGATAGCCCCGAGGAATTTGAACCTCAAATATCCGACCGTTGTTGTGCTACGCGCCAGCTGTCCCAAAATATCTACCCACCTAACGGTCATATCATTGAAGGGCATTTATGTCTTATCATGTCGGGCTACTCCCTAGGCTATAAATAGCCACCCCCTATAACCCCTAGCTGGTTGGCTGCTCCGAGAGAAACTGACACTTATCATTGAGCGCATCCCATGCTCTGAGGACTTTGAGCAAAAATCATCAAGTGAGGAAAACCCAAACCCAAACACCTACAAATCCCAAAGTGATTGAGCATCACTGAAGAGATAGTTCCTGTGTGGAACCGACGCTTGTTACCTTTGAGGATTGTGTATCCTCGAGACGGTTAGGCGTCATGGTCTTAGCATCCAAGAGGAATTGTGGACCGCCGAGTGACCAAGTCTGTGAAGGTTTGGAAGTCACCTAAAGACTTGCCGCGAGTGATTGGGCGATGTCTGTGTGACTTTAGCTCAAGGAGAATACGGTGAGGACTGTGTGTCCGAGACTGTGTGTCCTCAGGTTTAAATACCCAGCCGCTCCAACCAGACGTACAACTATCACAGTAGTTGGAACTGGTCTACCAAATGATTGTCTTCACCAAGCCAACTGGTTCTATTTCCTCAACCCTTTCGTTTCCTCATTCATGTGTTGATGAACCTGATCATTACTGTTTGAAGACTTTGACTGGATACTTTCTCTATTTCCTCAATCCTATTTCTTCAGTCACATAGCTTTCAGCCTGCTTATCCTGTTTTCACGCTATCTGTACTCTGTGCTTGTTTTCATTTCATCATGATGACTATGTTGTTGCTCTGTTATGCTTATACCTGATTACTTATTCCGATGCTAGTGTGGCATTGCTTAGGAATTTCTTCACCTAGAAATTCCTCAGTGACAAATTTGTAAAAATCGCCTATTCACCCCCCCTCTAGTCGATATAATGCACTTTCAATTGGTATCAGAGAAAGGTACTCCCTTGTTCTATGTGATTTTGGTTTAACCACTTGGAGTTTTAGTTATGTCGACCGCAGGTATGAAGAAAGTATCGTGCCCTATCTTTGACGGTCATGATTATCCCAAGTGGAAGGCCATGATGAGGAAGCGCCTCAGGGCGATGAACAGCAAGCTTTGGACCGTCACAGAGATTGGCCTCACCGACTTATGCAAGATGGTGGACGCTGATTATATTCGCAAGTACACTTGTCTGGATTGCATTGCGAAGGATATCATCTGCTCCTGTCTCTCCAGGAACCAGTTTAGGCTCATTATGCATCTGTGCAATGCTAAGCTTATCTGGGACCAAATCTCTGATGTGTATGAAGGTCATCGAACTCGTCAGAATCCCTGGTTTGATGATTCCAAGGTATCATTCAAAACGATGACTTTTGAACCAGAATCATCATCATCCGCACCATGCCTCATGGCTAAGGGTGCAAAGGTACCTGATTACTCCTCATCCGATTCTAGTGATGATTATGGTGAATCTGATGATGATGATGTCTTTGGACCTAGTTATACCAAGCTTGTTACCATTGCCACTAAACAACAAAAGGCTTTGGTAAAGGTTCAAAATCTGCTAGATAAAGGCGATGGCCTAATGGGTGAGGAACTGGATCGAACTCAAACTTTGACGGATGATCTCCAAAGTCTTCAGTCTAAGTTCGATAAACTTTAGAGTCATCATAACTCTATTTTAGTTGATCATGAGAAGCTTTCTCTTGAAATTCTTCAGAGAGAGCAAGATCTTGAGAAGTTAAAAGTGAGTTATGAAGATCTTCAGAAGGGAAATGATTCATTGCTTGCTCAACAGATCAGTTCCCCTCGGGAAGAATTTATTCCACCATGTTTGAAATGCATTGAGCGTGAATCTGTCAATTCTTCACCTAAATGTTCAAATGCTTCTATTGCTGCAAATTCTTCAACTGTCTCTATGGTCACAAATTCCTCATCTGAGGATACCACAAGTACCACTGACGATAATGCAGTGTTGAAGGAATTGTATGTGACATGCATATACAAAAGTCTCAAAGGGCATCAGACTCTTTGTGATGTGCTCAAAAAGTAGATC